AGCAACAGCAACAGCAACAGCAACAGCAACAGCAACAGCAACACTTACAAAAAACAAAAAGCAACAGCAACACTTACAAAAAACAAAAAGCCCCACCACCAGTACTGTGCACACTCTTTATATACCAAAGCCTAATTACATCCATGTGAGAATGTGTTGAAACATCCTTCAATACTTATCCAATTAATTACAAATCACCACCCATGTTAATGTTGCTGTTTACATGAACTGGGGACCCTATAGTGGGTTTCTGAAGCTTGCTTGCCGCCGGTGGGTCAGTCGGATGAACGGTCATGTACTCAGACAGACCAACATCTCAGACTTAACAAGACCGGGCTGTCTGAAGGGCTGTCTCTCGCTAGAGATGGATTTGTGAGAATGTCACCATCTTGGCTCAGAGCTCAGTGCTGTGGCCTTGAGCCAAGATGGTGGCTTTCTCACAAAGCTACCTCCCACCGACCCAGAGATAGGCCTTCAGACAGGCTGGACTGTCTGAAGGCCTATCACACTGATAGGCTGGTAGTGAGCCATACAAAAGAGGTCTGTGAAAGTCTGGTGTGTGGTACTGTACAGCTGGATCATGTCTGAGATGCTTAACATGAAAGAAAGAAACATGAAGACATATTACCGGGTTTCCAGGGCTGCCTCTCTCTCCAGGCTCTCCAGGGGCTCCAGGAATCCCCTGTTGTGACAACAGACCGACATCAACACACAAGAAACCCTTTAGTTATGACAATATAAAGTTCCATTATAATGAATTTCCGTCTGCATGTCATTTCCTTACTCCCTCATACCATACACTATGGAAGAGTGGGCACTTCATTTAAAATAAGGCTCTCAAATATTTCTCTTTACATTAATTCAATAATAAAGCAACGAGAATTGCAATTTAAAGTATATTTTGCAAGCTGAATGCTGAAACGGTCTGATCATATTCGCTGTATACAAATCCCTGAGTGGAGATAATAAACACCCCCTAATATTTTGCACACTAATTAGGCTAATTAGAGTAAAAAGCTATTTAAACCTCTTAGAGAAATGTATGTGACAAGTCAAAAACAGATGGATGCTTCACAATATCGCTCTGCTCTAAGAACATTTAGGATTCTTTGCACAGTAACTATGTCTGCAGGAAGCAAAATGCCTAGCCGCATGTTTTTTGAACGTCTGTTTTAAAACATTGTTAAACTCTGGCATGAAAATTAACTTTTAGACCCTTTAAAAAATATAAGTGATATGAAAATGCCAAAAACAACAAAGCACAAATGTTAAGCTACGCCACCTCTCTCTCCCTTGGCGTCTTCCACATTACAAAGAACAGATGTGTACTGTCAAACACCCTGAAACTGATTTAAAGTCACTCAGCCCAACATTGTAATGGTGGAAAAGGGCTGATAGAACTTTATGAACAGAGCAATTTATAAACCCTCTCTTTAAGAGCAAGAAAAAAATATTTAAAGCTCTCCAGTGAGTTAGTTAGGTTGATCCCAGATTAATTTCTATACAAAAGACAAGCCCTGGCAAGGAGAGAATAAGACTAGAAAAACTCTGCCAAGTCAGGTCACTACAATATAAGTTCTTTAAAGAGTCACTGAGCTTATTAGATTCCGTGTTGTGTTGGGTAAAAAACAAACACCCACGTGTACTGTATGTAGTGAATGTTTGGTCCAGGCCTTTTGCCTTATATAGCAAGATGATTTGTAAGAAGCAAAGTAACTCTTCTCCACCAGCCTCTCCCTTCCCTTAAACTCAATGTACAGTAGCAAAGCACATGAGTAACTACTGGTAAATGAAAGTATCAGGAAATGAAGTGCCTTTCAAAGGGAGAAGTACAAAGTACAGATCAGGAAAAAGTAAAGGTTTATGCCATGCAGAAAAGAGAAGAAAGAAAACACAATGTTGTGGCCGTGGAGCCTTTTTCAAGTACAGATCAGTTGAATTTAAAGCATTTAAAACTCAAACACAATACTAAACTTTTAATGTTGTGTAAAACATTTATAAAATGAAAAAAAACAGTATAGACTAATTGGTTACTTTAAGAGGTATGCACTTCAGTTTGTTTGCCAGAACTGGATATCATCAAAACGCCTTCTCTATGCACTCATCAACATCTAAGCATTTGAAAGTCATCTAAAAGGCATTAAAAAAAGGAGGATATTAAATTCTGCATTAACATTCCCACTGTTCTGAGTAGGTACGATTTGTTTTTGTTTAGCTTTGTAATAAAGGAACAAGAACAGCATTTGCAGAAGAGCAAATCTAAAATGCTGAAGTACGAAGTTTAAGAAAAGACAGTTCTACATTAATCTGCTTCACATGACGTACAAACCGAAGATCATTACTATTGAACACATTTACCTTGTGAGGCTAGGAGTGGGTGCGGCTCTGGATTTATAACTTATAATGTTGTTTTTTTACCTACATTTATCATTTTAGAACAAAACATTGCCTGTGAACATCATCACAAAGACATAAATGTTTTTTTACAGTAGAATGATATAACATAAAAGTAAACATCTAGAGTAGTTTTTACTCATAACGTAACCAAATGTTAGGGAATGTTTATGCATTTGTATCTTATAACAAGAGGTTGCAGGTTCAAACCCTTGGGTGGTACAGCTATTTAACCCTCAATTAAGGTCACCTAAAAGACCCGTGTAAATGGGGATGAATGTAAAACTACGTTGTCATGTCATTAATTAATCAGCCACTTGGGAAGACTCACCATTTCGCCATCCAGCCCAGGTGATCCAGGATCGCCGCTGTCCCCCTGGCAGAACACAGAGAGCCTGAGCAATGCGTCAGGGACAACAGTACAGCAGGCGTGTATTACAGCACACCTGCGGGACACACCTGGAGGAGTGGGACACACCCACTCATGCTCTCCGTCACACACCTGAACTGAATTCAGAGTCTAACTACCCAGAATATGAGGTAGCACTGTAATTATGAATAGCGCTGCTTTTGAAACCAGAAAGTAATGTCATACTCACCCTGTCCCCCCTGAAGCCAGCTAGACCCTGTCAGAAAAGCACAAATAAGGAAAATGTGATTCAGAGCATCATTATACAGAAATATCAAATGTGTCCAGAATTTATTCGATTGCAATAGCCACCACAGTGATTGTCATGTTTTGTTTTTAATTTTCAATAATAATAACTGAGTAATGCTCCAGGTCTGATGAAGAACTAGAGAGGTGAGATCTCAAGTTCAAGGAAAGGTCTCGAAAGGCTCTGGGAGTTTCTCAGTTTCAATGAGAAAAGAATGCCTTTAAACAATTTGTACTTTTTTTGCTGCTTTGTTGTCCTTACTAAGCTGCTTAGGCTGCCTGAGAGTAGAGATTTAATAGAGTCAGAATGGATGGGGCTGCAGGGAGACATACAGTACAGTATCAGTAAGGATAAACCAAATCGTACTGTGTAAATGAACACTTATTGTGAATGTAAGACTTAATTTAACAGCATGTTGCATTACAGTCCATGTCAGGTCATTGCTTCCGAGGCATTGCGGTTAGGCAGGATTGTTGGACAGTAGTTGGACAGTAGTTGGACAGTACTAATTATGCTTGACCTTACCTGTGTGCCTCTTTCCCCAGGACATCCTGATATTCCATGAGTGCCATTGGAGCCATGAGGGCCTCTCCGGCCCTAGAGAAAAGGAACGAGACAAATATTGCTGAAACTTTGCAAATCAGCATAGCTTTGAGGTACACAAAGATGTTACTTAAAGGCAGATTTTGCACATAGAATTAATTAATTACCTAAAAATGTAATCATGTACCTGTTACCTTCTGTTTCTGAGACAGCTGAAAATCCACTGGCAGATGGAAAGGGGAACACTCAACTGTAACAATTCATGATCATAATAATTGCTTACACTTATATAGCGCTTTTCTGGACACTCCACTCAGAGCTCTTTACAGGTAATGGGGATCCCCTCCACCACCAGCAGTGTGCAGCAGAGTGATGGAGCCAGTTCAGAGATGGGGATCATTAGGAGGCCATGATGGGTAAAGGCCAGGGGGAAATTTGGCCAGAAACGCCGGGGTTACACCCCTTCTCTTTTCGAGGAACACCCTGAGATTTTTAATGAACACAGAGAGTAATGAACTCGGATTTACGTCTCATCTGAAGGACAGTGCCTTTTTATACAGTATAGTGTCCCCGTCACTATACTGGGGCATTAGGACCCACACAGACTGCAGGGTGAGCACCCCCTACTGGCCCCTCATGTTTAAAGAGTTAAGCAATGTGTGCCATCTTAGCACAGGAATGCACTAAACTCTTTAAAATGGAAACTACGCACCATTCCTCCTTCATCTCCAGGATGTCCCCAAACTCCTTTTGTACCTGGTGTTCCCTGTAACAAACATGTTAAGTAGTTCAAAATAAACATGAAAAAAGGATATACTTCACTACTTATGAAAAATCCCTGAAGGTCTTATACAGTGCTGCATTTTCAATGGCTAATAATTGTAGAGATGCCTCCAAACCGCATTATAGCGAAAGGCTTCAGTGAAACACTGGGCATCGCTTCTGCTCTGGTTTTCCCTGTGTGAAGAAACCCTGGAATTTTGCCAGAATTAAATCCCAGTTACTCACTGCTCCGCTCCCTAAACAGCGGATATCTCCGCAGCAGCAGGATAACCAGATCCTCAACCATCCACATGATTTACTTAATCCAGTGGTGGAGAACCAACAGTAATCCCTTATTAGTTGTTATAATTATCTGAAATGCGTATCTCTTTATTATACTTCAGTTTAATCAAAGTAAATTGGTTTCCATGGCAGAAACCAGGCACGAGGCTGAATTCACATGAGACCTGCACAAGGCCTTTTTCTATTAGCCCTAAAATTCTTCCCCACTCTCGGTAGCTTAGTGGAGTCTTACCTTTGGCCCTGGGGGTCCCCTGGCGCCCCGAGACCCCTCATGCCCGGTACATTTGCATATGACGTTGCAGCACTCTCTCTCTGCAATTGTGTCCTGCAGCACAGGGCAGATGAGACGCTTGCAAGAGATTTTGCAGAGATTATCACAGTACCTGCTGTCACACAAGGCGTTAGTATGAACCCAGACATGTCACCTGAGGGAAGAGATGTGCCGTTTCCTCTGTATAATATGAGCTAGCAGGATTTTAAACACGAAGACAGCAGGTAAGCATCCAATGATCAGGTTCTGAGAGGTTTGTTCTGCTCTAGCTACCTCCTCAAATCCCCAGCTCAAGAGCATAGATCTTAGCCTTAGACTAACGAGGGGGAAAACCAATAAAGGTTCTTTGCAAATAGAACCAGGTTATTTTAAATTAATATCAACTGATGTTTAGCGATTTTCAATGTGGATGGCTGGCACTACATGTGACCACCTAACCACATTGCCAAGTGGTGGTGGAAGTCTGGCACGCTAATCACATGCATTCTCTGATCATCATCGAGGGGAAGCGCATACTGTACAACGTGTTGTACCACGGACAGCTGACAGGAGGCTCCAGCTTCCACTCAGACACCAGTCGTGAAGGCACCGGCTTCCTCTGCAGCATGCTTGTCACTACTGAAACACGAGCTTGTTCTGACCACCTGGACCACACCGACAGCTGAACAGCTGTTTCCAGTTTAGCCATTGGCACCAATCTAATGGGGGTTTTAACCATGGTTGGGGAAGTCCATGCTCTTGGTCAACGAACTCCGTCCAACACCTCAAAGGAGCCCTATCCTCACCACATAAAAGTCACCCTTGGTTTCAAAGCTCTTTTCTACCTATTGTGCAACTTTGAACTCTGCCACAACACGTTTTACACGAATAATAAAGGAGAGGAAGAAATAGAATATAATGTAAGAGATCAAATATCTGTTCAGGTTACAGAGAGTATCTATTATAGACCAGACTTATTGCACTTCTTAATGTGCCCTCTGTGCTGTAACTCTCTGTGACTTCTCCCACTTAAACTGTGCAATTCAAAAAGTTCATAAAAGTGGTAACTACATTCCCCATCTATAGAGATCATGGCCACATTGTTTGTTCTATGTTAGAACATTTTTCAGGTTATTTCCAAATCTATTTCTATTTTCAAATCTATGTGGCTCACAGGCCACAATTCACCAGGCTGATCCTTACTTTAAAAAAAAGAAAGTATAAGCAAAGTTCAAAGGGAATAGAAATCACATTATTATTAATAATAATAATATGATTATTATTAGATCATAAACCAGGAAATATAATCCAGTTCTAGAAGCAGTACCACGATGATGCAAAACCTTGGCACATGCAGAAAATTACAGTATTTGTCCAGAAAATCAAAAAGCATACTCACAAGTTCTGTAAACAATGAACTAGCAATATTCTTCATTTCAATGGTCAGGATCTCTTTATAGCCAAAACCTCTTCCAAATTCCACCATCTGAAGTTCATTTATAACTCCTTCTAATGCAACAGTTACTAATGCATGAATTCCTGTTTCAAATAATGGAAAAGGGAAGAATAAAAGCAGCCAGATGCAAAAAGATCACAATGGATCTAACATCCGTTTTGGCTCCTTTTAACTCTGGGAAAAAGGCATGAAGTTACAGTATGTATAAATTATTTAAAAAGATTAAACATAGCTCTGTGTATAATTAATTCAGATGCCATAACAAGTGCATTCAATTTCATGTACAATATCTGCGGACGTTTCTGATTAGTCATCTTTTCACAGTTTGAAATAATGTAGACACATGCAACATGCACCTGACCAATGCAAGATCCTGTAACATGCACTAAGCGCTTTTAACGTGTATAATCTTTGTCCATGAGAGCACACCTCCTTATCGAATCAATCCCAAAGCAAGGTCTGATGCTTGCTGGATAACAAAATTCAATACTTAAACTTAAAGGGTTTTGTATTAGTTATCAAATATTGTGAAACAGCTGAAGTTTGGAGCGCCATAAAACACAATCTTTTAATTAGATGGGTCTCAGTAAAATGGGCAAATGCAGCCACAAGGTATACAAACAATGCTTTTTGTTCACAGTGCTCATACACAAACCCAAGCTACTAACTACACTACATCTTCTGTTCCCCTCTCTAATAAAAACAATGAAGCTAAAAGGCATTCCAAAAACGCTGTCTCTCTCTCAAACTTTTTTCTGAAAACTCTCTTCTCAAAAACTCACACAATTCCCTGTCCACTGGCCCGATTTCACAGTTCCATAGTACATAATCGTTCCCTTCTTCTCTGGTGAGATCCTACAACAGAGGATCTGTCTCTAGATGGCTGATCAGACTAACTGCTGGAAACCACTTGATTTTAATCATCGCCTGTCCTACTGAGTTCTCTAGTCACCTGGCTGAGGGTGGCAGCTCTATTACTAATATTGTTTAAATACATTTCAATTCATGTACATGGATTCTGCAAGATTACCTACTGTATGTGTCAATTTTTGTTACTTGTTATCAACCCTATTTACCCCTTTGAAAATGCTAAGTCCTTTCTAAATTATTCCTGAGACTGAGATCTTCGTTTACAGAACATATGTAAATTCACAATTCACATATACTGTTGTACTTCAGAAAAGCACTCTGGAATGCTTTGGGTTATAAATGGTGCTACTGGTACTTGATTTGTTAGCATTGATTGACAAATTTGTACTTGATTTGTTAGCATCAATGACAATTTATTTTGAAAGGCCTCCACTTGCAAGCACAGGTGTTGTGTCAAATTAATTACCTTCTTTTCTGAGATTGTCAGATTCATTTTCAAGCTTCTCAACATTGTCATCTAGCCCATCAGAAAATACAAGCAGCACCTGTAACATAACCACATTAACATAAAACAGCATGAATTGTTTTGTCATATACAGTATACTCGAATAGAATATTGTACTGAACAGTGATGTTGTACTGTATATGTCAATTTGGTTAAATGGTATATAAGTGGTATAAATTATTTTTACTGAAGAACTTCAACAATGCCAAGCTATAAACACTGTGTATTAGTACAAACTAGCTTGGAATTGCCCATAAAGGGGTAGCAGAGAACAACAGTACAAAGATTACATTACTCTACATAATAACCATACATACATTACACTACTGTACATAGGTAACTGGTATCCTTTTGAACTTTTTAATTATGTTGCTTCAGTTAAACGTGTTTAAACAAGTAATTTGCATCTTTAATAGTAGCTTTTTCCTGGCACATCCACCATGCTCTACTCAACAGTGTAGACAGAATAGCCTTTACCTTGACATTGGTTCGTGATTCCTTTTTAAATTTAGTCAGAAAAGACTTTACAAACTCAGCATTCAGGTGCGTTGCTTTTGTTGTGTGTAGCTGCATCAGTTTTAGTATGATGTCATCACTGTATTTCCCAAACGGAGCATCAAACAATATGTGTCCCTCTTCATCACTCATCAGGAAACCTATCTGGATATAGATTTCAGACCCAGAAACACAGCAGAGATCTCCCAGGTGAGACATTTGTTGAATTATTTCTCCGAGTTTCTGTTTTCTGTTAAATAGTTCTTGAAATCTGCCTCTTCTGGAGATGTCAAATCCAACAGCTATATCAATCGTGCAGCCTAAAAAAGTCATTAAAGACAATTAATTTTATCACATCAACAATACTGTATATACATTCTATTTATAATATTTGTTTTTACTTTTTGTTCTAATAAAAAGTAACATCATTTTTTGCACACAGACACTAGATATTAAGAAAGAATGTCTTTTCTTCTGTCTCGGGCACCTGCTCTCAAATAGTGATCTTCAGTAAGCGGGATAAATAGACTCCTGTAATGTTGCCTGTTTACATTCACATTGTAATACTGTATTTCTAATGAAAATGTGCAATGAAAGGGAAACATCAAAGATTTCTTTCAATTAAGAGGAAAAATTAATTATAATTCCTGAACATCTAAACACCTACTGAAGATAGAGCGGAAAAGCTAATTCTCTCAACACATAGGCCTCTTAGACTATTTGAACAGGTGCTGTGTGGCATTCGTAGGCTGCTCAGAGTTGTTTCCTTTTTACCCTTTTTCACTAAATGGAACAGATGACAGAATTTCTTGTGATTAGAAGAATTAAACAATTTGCTTGATTCATGCCCCCTTACAATAAACCGTAGCCTTTGGAAGAATTATGCCTCCATATCCTTCACAAAGATGACCCATGTTTCAGAATTTCAGAAAACAGATTTCATAATATCAGCCTGTTACTGAAATCAACACATGTCCTAAAATGAAGACGAATGTGCTGGAATCAACAAGAGGAGCTGACATACAAAAAGCCCCTCTGTGTGTGCCTTGTAAATTGCTGCCACATGCAATGGATTAAGTTTTGTACAGTAGAATTTGAACAAGGACGTCAATCGTGTTTTATTTGTGTGTGCATACATGACCATTACATATTTATCCTTTGCAGGGTATTCCCAATTGCTGTGAATGCAATTTTGTTGGCATTTATTGGCCAGTTATATTGTGCACAGCTTCTCTCTGGTTAAATGTTCCAGGATGGGGAACTGTAAAGATTTCTGATAGGCATGTGGTTTTTAAATCTGAGAAAGAGCTGCAATAGGCAAATCTATTCATCTGGAATTTTTTCACACCTCAAAGATGCAGCATCCAACAAGAAACTTCATGTAAGGGTGGGTTGCTCATGTTTTTTCACAACTAAAATTACTCTTGATCAGCATATTAAAAGTATTATCAATTTGGTCTGGCCGTTCTGATAAGGGTACCACAAGGTTGATGAGCCGCTTGATGAATGTGTATATACTGGGAATTAACCATATTCATTACATTATGAAACTGGATATTTTTATTGGATAGTATAAGACTGTTTTATTCACAACCTCTTTATTTTCTGGGGGGGAGTTTAAGCCATTTTGCAAACCACTAATACGTTTTACAGCAGCTGAAACAACAGGAAATTTCTATTTAGATCCAAAGTAATTTCAAGAACATGGGAAACAGGCTAGTTAGCACAGCAGCTATGAAGAGCACAACAGACTGGGGACTAGAGATGTTTTGAAGGAAAATTGAATATTTTTGCATTTCATGTTACTGGAAGACTTAAACCATTATTTAAAGTGAAAGTGTAGCAAATTGACATGTTTTGATTCCTCCCTTTGCAGTGAAATCTCACTCTACAAGAGTAGATATTATAGTAGTATTATTGCAGTGACCGTATTTTTGGTTTATTGTATTATTTTGTCAATTGGTATCATTTACTTTTATATCTCAGAAGGAAAGAGCTTCAATACTGAATTAAAATATGTCTTCCAGTCAATAACACAGTCTTTGGAAATTTGTAATATAAAATCAACATCATTTCCTGATTATAAAGGGTTCGATTATGTCCTGTGTAAACTCACACCTACTGATATACTGTTCCCTAGCTTTTGTTTTTTTTTATTTTTGCCTTTATGTTATTGATAGAATCAACTGTGGCCCTCAAATAATTTACTTCTGCCAGCCTTCTATTTTGCTTTGCGTTTTCTTATTTTTCTGGAAAGAGTGTAAGAGTTCGAAATAAAAAAAAAAGATTTTCAGTTCTGCTATTCTGGCTTGTTATCCTCAGCACAGACTGTTTCTACTGACTTGACCCCTTATTTCTACTTTGAACAAACGTGTAATTTTAGTTTGATGATGATCCATTTGTAAGAATTATTGATCAGAATGTGAGCATCAAATTCATTGTTGCAGATTTATCACCATACATTTCACTAGGCACCACAACAAAGGGTTGAATGCTTTGTCAATGCTTGGACTACTTGGTGAGATAAGTTTGGCTTAACCTGCTTGGTTAACGAGCATCCCCCTGGACACAGGACAAGGGGGCTCGAACCCGTTTCAGAGAGAGTGAACCAGTGGGCAGTTGCAAGGTGGAGACGGGGCAGCAGCGAGATTCTGGAGATAAACGCGCACAGGGGCGTTCCAGTTCAGTTAATGTAGCTACTTTTGCAATGATGGTGAGAAGGTACAGCTGTGTGAGATTGACTTGTCCTTGTTATCCCTTCCCAGCGTCAGTTAATGACTTCAATTTGTTAGCAGACAAACCTTTACAGCCT